GCACTCATGGTTGTAACCTTCTATGACCTTTCCCTTCCATGACCAGCTTCTTCCTCTGACCTTCCCCCACACCTCACATTACCCTTCACCAGGTGCTGCCTCTCACCCTGATCTTCCACCTTCAACATTGTGTTATCCTGATTGTGTTTCCACAGTACTTAAATTGTTTCTTTCTGGCTGCTTGTAATATTTTCTCCTTGACCTGGGAACCCTGGAATTTGGCTACAATATTCCCAATTTTCCTTTGAGGAATCTCTTTAAGGAGGAGATCGATGGATTCTATCAATTTCTACTTTGCCCTCTGGTTCTAAAATATCAGGGCAGTTTTCCTTGATCATTTCTTGAAAGATGATGTCTAGGCTCTTTTTTTGATCATGGTTTTCAGATAGTCCAATAATTTTTAAATTCTCTCTCCTGGATCTATTTTCCACGTCAGTTGTTTTTCCAATGAGATATTTCACATTGTTTTCTCATTTTTCATTCTTTTGGATTTGTTTTACAGTGTCTTGATTTCTCATAAAGTCACTAGTTTCCAATTGCTCTATTCTAATTTTTAAGGAAGTATTTTCTTCAGTAAGCTTTTGGACTTCCTTTTCCATTTGACCAATTTTGCTTTTAAGGGCATTCTTTTCCTCATTGGCTTTTTGGACCACTTCTGCCATTTGGATTACGCTATTTTTTAAGGTGTTATTTTCTGGGGTCTCCTTTAGCAAGCTGTTGACTTGTTTTTCATGATTTTCTTGCATCACTCTCATTTCTCTTCCCAGTTTTTCCTCTACTTCTCTTACTTGCTTCTCAAAATCCTTTTTGAGCTCTTCCATAACCTGGGACTGATTCATATTTTTCTTGGAGGCTTTGGATGTAGGACCTTTGACTTTGTCTTCTTCTGGTTGTATGTTTTGATCTTCTTTGTCACCAAAGTAAGACAATATAGTCTGACTCTTTTTTGCGCTGCTTACTCATGATCCCAGCCAATTACTTGAGTTTTAAACTCTTTGTTAAGGTAATAGTCTGCTTCCAATGTGGTGAATGTACTGTCCCAAGCTTCGGGGATTTGTACACCTATTTTCAGAGCTACTTCTAGGGACCTGTAAATTTTCAGTTCTCCCAAGGTGGTATAAGGAGTGAGGTGTTTCCTCTCCACCACCACAACAAGCTCCACCAGGCCAGGGCTCCTCCTCACCCAGGACCGCCTCTCAGAACTGTGACTCAGATCCAAGCACGGGCAAAGCAAGAGATTCCTGCCTCATCACTGGCAAAGAGATCCCTGCAATCCATCTCTGATGAGCCACTCGATTCCCCCTCAGTATGTGGGCCAGAAGCTCAGGAGTCAGCCACTGCGCCGCCCACACGCTCTGGACTTGGGGCTGAGACCTAGCTTCTTCTCTCACCACAGAAACAGACTTTTCTCACTGACCTTCCAAGTTGTCTTTGGTGTTCGTGGTTTGAGAAGTCTGGAAACCGCCATGGCTGCCCACGATTCAGTCCTCTGAGGCCTGTTCCACACTGCTTGCCCACACTAAACTGCGCTCCTCTCCCTGCTCAGCACGATATACCTTTCCAATCAACCACCCAGGTTGACTTGGGCTGGAAATGTGTTTCACTCTGGCCTTTTGTGGGTTCTGCTGCTGTAGAATTTTTTTTGAGCCATTTTTTTACAGGTATTTGGAAGGGTTTGGGGGAGAGCTCAAGCAATGCACTGCTTTCACTCTTGGCCCCGCCCCGAGAATTCCTTTCTAAAGACCCCAGAGTTGACGAAAGTGGAAGGAACATTGGCATTGTGGTATTCGTTATAACCTGTAAACTCAAAGAACACATAATGAAGGCAAAGAGATCAGAAAAGAAGGAAAAGGAAATTTCAGGGACACTAGGATGAGAACCAGAGCTGAACTGAGGACTCAGTTTGAGTTCTATTGACATCCTTCTGGGAGGAGAGTAGCATTCTTGTGGGCACTCCCTTCCTCTCTGCCATGAAGTTCTACCATGAAGTTAGAGATAATAAGGGCACTTGCAGCTGTGGGGATTTAGATGGAGCAAGGAGAGCCCTGATTCAGTTCATTTTGGCTGTGTCCTGGCCTGCAGAAACAGAGCACAAGGCAAGGCCACCTACTGACTATCCCACTCATCTCGAAGAGCAGGACAGAATCTTGTGCACAATAGGAAGCATGCAAAAGGCTTGTTCATTCAAATTAGGCCAAGCTTCCTATGGAAGAACTTTTCCAATAACATTCCTAGCAAAATGCCACTGAAGATTTGCATCAGGTCTTTCAGTGAGGGCACAGCCTCTGCGTCCTGAGGCAGTGTATTCTGCTTTTGGATGGCCATAATTAGCAGAAAATTCTCCCTTAACGTGAACTGAAATACATTCCCTAGTACCTTTCACACATTGCTTGTAATTCCCCTCTCAGAGGCCAAGTAGAAGGATTTTATATCTTTTGCCCCATTAGAGGTCTTTAAACATTTGGAGACCATCATTAAACCTCTCTTATGTAGATTAAACACACCTAGGTCTTTCAAACAATCCTTTTATAGCATAGTTTCATGTTCCCATGATGGCCATTTTCTTTCTGTATATATTTTTTCTTCAAACATGTCATCACAACACAACATAATATTGTAAATGGGGGCTGATCAGGCCAGAGGACAGTGGAACTATCATCTTCCTCTTTCCAAGGACTACATTTCTCTTCATGGGGACTAACTGGACTGTTCCATCACCCTATTAGATCAAGTTGAGATTTCAATCTGCTAAAACCCTCATCGTCTTCCAATGTGAAATCTTTCTGGTCATGTCCCCATCATCCTCTGGTCAGGCAATTTATTTTGTAACTCTTTATCCATATTTGACCTTTTAGTTGTTAAATATCTTATGTTTTTAGATGTGACGGACCTTTCTAATTTTTATTGAATTTGAATTCTCACTAACACATTAAGAACCCAACCCTCCTACTTTCCTGTCCTTTATACCTTTTCTTCATCCATGACTCTTAACATCCTGGACCCACTGATGGTACCCTTTCCAGTTTTCCAATTTTCCCCTTGCTCTATGTCTCTTGTCCTCTAATCCTACAGAAAAGCATGGCACAATTTCTAGGACATGACCCAGATATCCAATATCTTTGTACCTGTGGTGCTTGAGAAAATTGATGGACCTGGGGATGTGGCTGGCGGAGATGTGGTCAGCAAAGAAGCTGTTGGAAAAATCATTGTGAAGAAGGATGATCAATAACACAGCCATATGAATGTTATAAGTTGAGGAACTGGCTATGAGATATGGAGTGCAAGGTCTCTATTGCCTTAGCCATTCTTGGAGCTGGAAGGAATGTCAGAGGCCATCTTGCCTGTTCTCTGCCTAAACAAAAACAACAAAAACCCTCTACAATGTACTGAAGAAATGGTTGTTCAGCCAATGCTTTATGGCCTCCAGGGGAGGACAACCCACCACTTCTCAAGGCAGCACATTCCACTTTGGGACAGCTCTCACTGCTAGGAAGGTTTTCCTGACATCAAGCCTCAAATTGCTTCTTTGTAACTTCCACCCATTGTTCTGGAGCCAAACATACCAAACCTATCCCCTCTTCCATGTGAGAGCCCTTTAAATACTGGAGGACATTTATCACGTCTTCCTTGATTCTGCTCAAACTAGGTAACACCAGCTCCTTCACATGGCATGACCTCGAGAAGCTTCACCCTGCTGCTGGTTCTGCACCATAATGGTAAAGGTCCCTTTCATCATGATGGCGAAGTTACTAGGGAAGTTGAAATCCTGAGCTGCTAGGCTTGAGGATCTGTCTCCTACCCCCAGGATGTTACAGGGACCTGGGTGAAGGGTCCTCATTGCAAAAGTCTATTAGACCAGGGGCTTCCTCCTTAGGCAGCCTGTACTTTCCTTACTCTTCAACAGGAATGCAGAAATCTGTTCCAACTTTCCATAGAATGTTCTGCTTAATTGTATATCTAATTTCTCAAAATTTAAATCTCTGGTCTTTGTGACCCAAGACTTCCAGTTGCTATAACATCTCAGCTCTCCCTCTCTTTCCCTGTTTAGAAGGTTCCTATTTCTTAGAATAATGGGGATTTTGAAAGGCCTGGGGCTGTTTCCTCTTTTGAATAGCATATTCTATTTCCACCTTCCATGTGGGACTCAGGGTGAATTCTCCAGGTCACAGAGGTATCGGTTGCATAGCCTACACTGAGACCCCAAAACTCCTGAGTGTGGCAGAACAAGATTAAAATGTAATTGGGAAACATTTAACAAAATAAATAAAAATACAGCACAACGTGGATAATGTCAATTTGGGGTTTTCTAAGTCAATAGGCAGCCCACAGGGATCCATTTCTATATGAGTCTGACACCCCTGCCACGACACAGAATCATCCTCTTCCCTACCTTTGGAGCGTCCTCCAGGCCCTGTGGGTTCCAGGGTAGGCTTAGGTGCTACTCTTGTGGATGGACCTGGAACTGAGAAACAAAGAAAAATGATTATAGATTGATAGACACCTTGAGTACTTAAAAGTAGAGAGTTTGGGTCAGTTGTGGGGGTCTCTATATGAGCTCAGGGTCCTTCATGAGGGAGTGACTCAATATGTGCTTCTTCACCCAATGATTGAATCAAGGGGGTCCAATGGTTTTGTTCCTGTCCAGGTTCTTGTGGAGGGAGCCTTTCATGAGAACACTAGCTGTAAAAGGCAGGATTTCAACCGAGATCTGGGTGCCACATGCCTAAAAAAAAAAACAAGCCTCATTTTACTGGCCCAGACAAGGAAAGCAGGTTGTCTAAGGTGACACAGCCTTGTAAGGGAGAAAGCTATAACTAGTGGAAAGGAGAACAGGGTGAGAGGCAGCACCTGGTGAAGGGTAATGTGAGGTGTGGGGGAAGGTCAGAGGAAGAGGCTGGTCATGGAAGGGAAAGGTCATAGAAGGTTACAACCATGAGTGC